TCCATTTACGACGGATGAACTTTAAGGTATTGAAGACTGAAAGTTGTGTTAAATGGACAGAAACAGATCGTGCATTTCTTGATTTTTATGAAGGTGTGAAAATGTCCTCGTATAAATTAGCATGATGTGCTGTGAGAAGGGGCACTGTCCCTTTGCTTCTAGCTTCGTAAAAGAACGTTTAAACAGGCAACGATTCTGTGGGATTTGGGCACCTGAGATGCTTGGATGCGAAACCATATTACCATGCTGTGTCAAACGAGCGTCAAAGAAAACGCCCTTTTCCGTGGGCTTATATACAGGAATCACTGACCCAGGTATTCTGGAGTCAGCTAAGAGAATGGTCGTTTTCGATGCTGCCAGTATGATCAAGCTCGTGTCATTTACTCAGATTTAGCCGGAATTGCATCGTCTCCTTACTTCAGGCTGCGTAGTAAATTTCATTCGCTGCCACAAATTAATGCCGATCACGTCCTCTGCTCTTCATAACGAGTCATTGCAATTCTTTGGAATTGTGTTGGCACACGCAGGAGAGCGATATTTTAACCATTTTTAAATCATTGTCAGCATTTCTGTGACGCTCTTCATAAATCCCTTTCTGAATGCTTGTCGGAACAGCCTGCAAAACGTAACTTGCCAACTGACTGACCTCATCTTTGTAAAGTTGGTTTGATATTAGAAGGCCTCTCTCCTTGAAGCCTCGGAACGATTGAAACCTGCTGTTCATATCAATCCCAGACGAAGAGGTGACGAATATATTTTTCATTCCATTCGCCCTCTCAGCAGAAGATAAAATGTCATGAACTTGATCATGGGAACTTCAGACGACTTTGATGAATAGTATTATTTACTATGGAAAATGAATAATTTGCATCGCCAATACGTGGCGCTGAAACGTCTATCTAAACTTCTGGTTATTCCTCTGAATGGAGGAGACAGTTATTGTTGTTACTGTTTTACCAACCAGCATTGATCAGGTTGTAAGGTTACAAAAGAAGGAATCGAAATATCGACGATTTGAGTTTGCTTATAGCGACTCATTTTCATCTGTTCAAATTCAAACGTGCCATATTTGCATAGGGTGTGTTTTAGTCAAGATCTTCCCTTTTGACGACAGATTTCAGTTACTATGTTTCAGTGACAACTGATTGAATTTAAATAATGATCGCATACTGATTCGTCTGCTAGTTTTGAGAAATGCATTTTGTTTACCCTTGCTTTTAAACTTAACTTACAAATCAAACAGTTTATTAAGCGGTACCGAAATTTTGGCTATTTAAAATACTTTGGCATTCAGTCACAATGCTAACCAGTCATGTGACAGTTACTTTCTTTTTCAGCGCGACGTTGTCAGTCGTTAGATCATATGCTGACATGCGGACACTGGCTCACGCGATGATAGATTCAGAAAGTCGTTTACGTAGTCGCTGGTTCAGCGACGGTTCTACAGTTAGTGCGCGTCAAATTGTGTGGGTACAGTTTTACGTCTTAGAATCCTATTTTCGACTTAAAGATTTAGTGTTCGACTTCCCTCTAATCTTGAAACTTTCAACGAAACCTTTTAACGCTCGTCTCATGACGGTTTCCCAAATTACGTCAAAATAAAGAAACGAGCAAATCGGGGTAACACCTTGTGTTAATTATTACACTGGAGAGCCGGTTGTTATGGGTGCTGGCATAGGATAGCATGACTGTACACTATGCATTCTGGCATGACCAGACCAGAATATCACGCTGTTTCGATTACCGACTTGCTGCCCGTTTCTCAGCTGGTTGCACCGGAGCAAGGTGGTGTTAACTCCTTGCTCGGAAGAATTTGCGGTTAAGAAAGAAATAGTCCTTTTGGCGGATTCGAACTTGGTTCTTCTGGAGTTCAAAGCCGAACTATTAGGCAATGTGTCATCGTGCAACCCTAACGTAACATTTTCAGTCAGAGAACCGGCCACTGGAAGGCTTTCGCACTGATACTACGGCTGTTGTACAGTTCCCGCTACAGTCAGATGATGCGCGGAAAAAATCGGTGCCACATCATAGCCTAAGTTTTGTCTAAATTACTGCCAAAAGGTTTAGTATAATGAATGGAGCTTTAGTTGTTTGTATTCGCAGGCTTCTTCCATAGTCATTTGGATGTTTCTGATATGATCCCGTGTCTCATGGGTTTTCTTCAAGGTAAATTTGAGGTGAAGCTTAGTAAATATGATTGGTCGCCAGAGGGACTTCTGGCTCCTATCTACTGCAGGGGACAAAACTTCACCACCAGCCTATCTTAATGAAGGCCTGTGAAGCACGAGCCGAAATGTCGGTACTGGTAAACAGTCACCTGAATGACTATATTATCTTTTGCGTTGTGTATAAGTAAACCTGTTTTACGCTATTTTTTGGCTATAACCCTAGTCTGTTTCTTGCATGGATTTTAAAACAGCGGTCTCTAAGATATTCAGTAAAGTAGATCCTCCATTGGTAATGTTCGGAACAGTGTGCCAGCAAAGCAATGCGCATCAGAGTTTTCAGGATCATAGAAGATTCAGTTCTTCGGAATTTCCTCTGATAATCTCGATCTCAACTTGTTGCAGATTGTAATCAAAATTATGGAAAGCCAATTTTTATTCTATAGTTCCAATGATGAGCCGGAAAATGCGGTGAACACTGAACCTGTCGTATTTCTTAGTCTGATTCTGCATTTAGAATGGTATGTACTACCTTGATTAGTCCATCTCCACCAAATTTTAATTACTTTCAAGAATATCGTGAAGTTTCGAAACGTCTCGAACTTTAAGTTTCTTAATGGCAAGTCAGATCGATCGCGTTATCACTGAAGTTCCATATCTTGAACTATGTAACTGCAGAGTGCGATGTTTATTTTTTACATAATTCATGGCAATACTCCTGACACCTGCGTATCATTTTGTCCTCTGTTCGCCAGTGAGCTGTTCATTACCGGTCTGATCATGTATGGCCTTCGATGCACTTTGCCAGAGTTCGAACACTTGAATATAAGTGGCTTGTTTCTCTTTTAAGCTGGCTTTAGCATATGCAGAGCAGTTGCGGCATGCAAGCAGTCACAAACAGCGGACTTATCTTACATTCCGGGCAATGGTCACAAGTGCGTGGGCCACCGCTCTATCTTTAAACGTGCATTCATTGACTTTATCGCGAGTACAGCTACAGATGTTGTAGAGAGATTTGCGACTATAAAATAAAGAGTGCGTAAAATACGGTCGCTCCTACACTGGCGTTATTCGTTATGTTGATCGTTTGATAATCGTTTAACCTTTGCTGTTATGAAAAGGGTAGTTCACTGCAGGCGTTTCTCTGTATCCGCATGCATCTTCATTGTATCTTTCCTTCAGGCGACTGTCGTGTTGCTCTGTGCTTAATATGAAGGACATTGTCGATCAGTGTAAATGTGATGCGGACCCAGCGGTGCTACATTAAAAATTGAAGGACTGCCTGTTACCAATCTTCTCGTGGCTAAAGACGGAAGTTACTAAGCATCAATGCATAAAAAGCGATAAAATTGAGTACAATATATTTAACCTTAGACGTTCCAATTCTTTCCTACAAACAGTGCTATTTAAACATCATTATATCGTGGAAGGAAGCGAGACACTACATCCTGGGTTAAACACGTGAAAATCGAGATTAAAACTTGCCTTAAATTCTATGAAATAGGAGCGCCATAGGTGGTAAGCCCCTTGTGAATGTTTCATGAATGCCATCAGTGAAGCTGTAACACGTCTTTAAAAATTTTTGTGCACCCAGAAGGAGATACTGTTGGTCCATAAGTCATGAGCCATTACGGTGGCGCCGTGTGCTTCCCTGCTGATGCAGACAAAGTGATTCCCTCTGTATTTCACTGGATAGTGATTTTGATACAATTCCGTCCATCGTGAGAAATGTTTAACTATTGCTGACTAT